TATTATATCGCATTAAAATTTAGAAAATCTGGAATAATTACTGGAATTAGGCTAATACTCTAACATGCTAAATGTTATGAGAAAACTACAGTAGGCCTATTATAACATTTAGCATGATAGAGTAGGCTAATTTTGGTAAATATTCCAGCTTTTTTTTATTGTATAACAGCATGCCCCACCTATTATATCAACTTACACGGGGAATATTGTTACACTTGACTTTACTTCAAAATATTTACAAAATCTTTTATGTAACCAATTTTGTTCAATAGAGGCCCCCCAGTGGCACAGCGGCATGTCTGCGGACTTACAACGCTAAAATCCTGCTTGAAACCTACATGCATAATCTTAGTTATTACTCACAAGTTTTTTTTGTTTTTTTTAAGTTATTCAACACTGAAAGATTTCGCAATAGAAAAGATGGTTTTGAACCTCAAAAACTTAAATATAACGTCATGAGTAGCAAGGGTGGGGAATATTTGGCATGATTTACCACCGATCTTAGTAATAAAAACTGTGTGATTACTCTGTCTTCCAAACGAAACATATACTAACCTCTATATCACTAGAATATATAGCATTTGAATTTCACGTATAACAACAACATCACATTTATTGTATTCCCTTTTTTCTTTATTTTTTACGGTAACGGGCACGCGCTATAGACCCTCATATTCACCGTTCGATACGCTAACCACTTGGCTGCGCTTGGCATCTATGTTGAGACCTGTGAAATAATATCTTTGCGATACTTTTCCTTCAATGTCTTTTCACCGAAACTTACAATAGCAAGATCTAACCCTGCTCACTAAACCTGTAGTCAGATGGGAGATAAAATAAGTATACATTTAAAAAAACATGGATTAGCAAAAAAAAATATTCCCCTTTTGAAACTACAATGGAGGGGGCAAAAAAGTATGATTTAATTACTGTGAATTTCGTGTGTCTACTACATCGCACAGAAAAAGTGGGGACAGCTGCTTTCCCTTGCCTCTCCCGTTATCCCACCTATGCACTTATTTAAATTTCAGTTGAGGCAAGAAATGTATAAAAGTATATATAAGTATATAAAAACTAGACGCTTGAATATTTCTTAACAGTACAACAGAATATCTATAAATCATGCACGAAGAACGTTTTTTCAAAGCCTACGTTGTCTTAATGTAAAAAAAAAGAAACTTTAATATTTTTAACTAACAGATCTTGTCTTTTCATGAAGCATATACATAGTTGTATGTACTGTCTGAAATCTGTATGTTTAAGAGCAGTATAAGCAACATTTTCAAATAATTTATTTTTTATATGTATCATTATATTTTGTGTACTTGATTTCAAAACGAAATTAGCCTGCTCTACACTAAAACCAAAACCCCAACCATTTTCTACAGTACATGTTAGTTTGGATGATTATTTGTTAATATCTCTCATCTTTAACAATAGCAACATATGGCAATGACGTTTGTCTTGGAAACAAAATTGTTGTTTTTCCATTGTGTCATTATTAAATGATAATTACACTAGAGGTGGTTAGATATGTTAAGATCCACTTAGTATAATTTTTAGTGCAACCATGTCAAGCTAGATAATTTACCAAAGTTTTTAACAATGGTAATCAATACAACCAAACACCGCAAGTGATATTTTTTTATTCACAAATGTTCCCCGGCACAGCCAATACTTTAGGATATGTTGGTTATTGTTATTAAGCACAAAGCTACACAAAGGGCTATCTGTGCTCTGCCCACCACGGGTATCGAAACCCGGTTTCTAGTAGTATAAGTCCACAGACATACCGCTGATACAATCTGCAGTTTAGGTTATGTTGGTATGATGTAACTATTCCTTGATAAGTCTGATATACCAAACTTTGGGATTCGAAATGTTTACTCTGGTGGTAATTATTATAATTTTTAGATGCACATTATTCATCTTCATACATTAAAATAACGATATTTCACAAAGCTGTTCTCTAAATTGCTTAAGTTAGCCTCAAAATCATTAATATTTTATACTCCAAATAAACCATAACTTTTTTACCCTCCATCCAGTAGCTCCAAACGTTTTCGAAGCACTTCCAATAGTGATGGTTCGCTCCCACATTCCTGGAAGGGTGGCTAAGTAAAGACAAGTGAATAACTTGTACATTTACTCGATTTTTTTAAAATATTTCTTAATAAGTTTTGTTTACACAAGGTTAAGCACGTTATATTAAAACGATTTTGAATACGCAACTTAACGAGCCACGTGACAATCACATCCAATATAAAGTAGAGTTGGAATGGCATGTATCAGGACTACATTTTAACATTGCTTAGCGTTTTGTAGGTAGTGCGATGTCACCGAAAACTGATCACGTTTAGAAAAGTAATGTAAAAGCTCTTTCTGACGCAAAATATTTGTATATCAAGATCATACAGACTTATTCCTATCGGATATTTAGAATTTTCAACACAGGGATATCCCTTGTACTTAATGGCATTAGAAAACAACGGAATACGGATGAACTTTGGATATCAAGACCATCCAGATAGAGACCTGCAACAAGTCGTACACTGCCATGGTAAGCAAGGTGTATAGTCTTGTAACAGGCTAGAATCCACAAGCACACAAAGCCGTCCACGTGCCCCATACAACAGTATATAACATAATCAAGAAGTATTTCCGTCTGGAAAAGCGGTACAAGTCACGTGTATAAAAAAATACCCATTCAACCTTTGCATACCTCAATTAGCAGAAGATGGAAACCGATACTTATACTATTCCATATGAAGACACACCAGTTAAGTCGCCTATGTATTTCTGTACGATTATACTGTTGAAACGGACAGCTGGGAAACCGTTATCCTCGTTAGCTAGGTTTATTATGGAAGGTAAGCAGGCAGAAAGGAGGGTTGTTCTTTGGACATGACAGCTTTACGATGGAGCCTTTTGCAATGAAAATTATTCTGCAGGGCTATTGTCAAGATGCACAGCCGTCAGATAGAACACGACCGCAAATGACAACATGGACTGTAACAATTTAGCGATGCTCCAGAATCATTTTAACGTAAACCTTTCTCAACCATTGTATTAGAAAATAGATTTACACTTACTTTCAATACCAGTATCTGTAAAATTTTACATATAGTTATATATAGCAGCTACATTTTATAGAACATATTTTAAACAAATCCTCGGTAGCAAAGCCCTTATATTTTGAATTCAGTTTACTGCTATGATGAAAACAAAATAATGATATTATAACATTGTTTTATGAAAATAGTTTTGTACAAGTATACCAAGCATTACTAATATAAACAAGCGTATACTTTACAATTATATTCATGCATTTTATATGCTCTGTAGTCGTATGTCATATTATAAATTTAAAACTATTTTTGTAGTGTTTTTTTTTGTAGAACACGATTCCTTTACGTACTAAGTTCCAGCACTGACATCACTACACAGAATCCTGATGCTGTAATTGGTTGGTTTACGGCCGCCTTAGTTGGAAAATGTCAGGTTTTACCATACTGAGCTTCAGTTGCTTTTCTATGAATATAAACAGGGAAACGGCTGTCTCTCACGTATTCTCACTCATATCGGGTCCCCCAGTGGCACAAGGTATATCTGCAGAAATACAACGCTCGAAACCGGGTTTCGATACCCGCGGTGGGCAGAGCAGAGATAGCCCATTGTGTAGCTTTGTACTTAATTACAAACTATCAAACAATTATATCGGTGGTGTAAAATAAAATGTGTCACTGTTGAACTTTGAGATTTTCATCCTTGAACTAAAATATGGTTAATTTCGTATTACTAAATGTCATATATTAAGAAAGGGGTTTCTGCCCAATGAAAATGAACTTTTTTCTTTTTCACGAGATATACAACGTTATCACGGCAGAGAAAAAAAACGTTATCTATTTATTCAACAGTAGTGGCTTTTATTGTGGTGTTTCGTAATTTCTGAATACCTGTAAAATCGAATTCGTTCATTTAGTTTCCGTTGAATAACTATATTTTGTTTTGCCAAAATTTCATAACAATGACTGTCGAATTAGCTTGTTTGGTTTTGATGTATAGTTCTTTTCTTACCACTAACAACCAAACAAATTGCATCACACTCCATGACTATACGAGACCTACCTTAGTAATTTTTTCCATTCTTCCAAGCAGCACTAATGAGTCGTGAATTCGGCGAAACTTGTCTGCTACAGCAGAAGTGGTGAATCAAAAAATGGATAAGGCCAGAGGTTTCGCTAGGCACTGGTACATAGAGCCTGTGCCCCGAATCCCCAGTTAGTATCTTAAAAAATTATAATAGAAAACCACGATCGATATCATATTGAAACACCAAAAATTCCCGCGTCTATGGACTCGAACTCCGAATTAGTTAACACATAGCGATACTTCTGGATAAGGCTTCCACGTCATTCTTTCTTCACTGAAATTCGTGTTTTGTTGAAGAAAATAAATCAAGAAACAGTTGTTTAATCAACTGTTTTACTTTGTTTGTGAGATACTAATTTACGATTATAGAATTTTCTAACACTAAAAAAAGTTACCATTTTGTGAGATTTTTTGCTAGTTATGGTGAAGCATAAAAAAACATGAATTATATATGAATTATTTACGGATTTTCTGTTTAAAGAGTATAAACATACTACTGCTTAGATATTATTTTGGACGATGGCTGTTACACTCTTAAGTACCACACAATAACAACATGATATCACCATAACACACCACACGCTGTGTACGTTGTCTTCCGCATGTTGAAGTTGGTTGACATACCAAGTTTCACAGTGCTGTATTCATTAGTTTCCTGAATTCAGTAATATGAAGAGCAGGAGTGACTTCTGAAACATTTTGTTTTAAAACTTCCAACCTAATGACGTATTGAATCACTATGTAACTTGATAACAGCCTAAATATGATGTAACAGTACCTCCACTAGTATATGGAAGGTATTTGTTTCAATCTTTGCTCAGTTCTTAATCAGTATCATCTCCAACACGAGTAGCGATAACTGTAATGGAATATGTCTCCAGTTGGCTCATTCTACAAACACTCATAGGTCCTCAATTGGCTTGAGGTCAGGTGACTGACTGTACAGGCCAGGGAAGATGTTGAAAGTTGCTACCAATCATGAACGATTTTCGCTCTATGGCTGGTGGAATTATCATCTTGCAAGTAACCATCCCATTTAGATAAAAGTAGAGCATTACAGGGCTAGTTCTATGACTGATGATATTGTTTTCTTGCGTGTAACCATCTCATTTGGGTAAAAGTAGAGCATTACATGGTTAGTTCTGTGACTGATGGTATTGTCTTCTTGTGTGTAACCATCTCATTTGGGTAAAAGTAGAGCATTACAGGGTTAGTTCTGTGACTGATGGTATTGTCTTCTTGCGTGTAACCATCTCATTTGGGTAAAAGTAGAGCATTACAGGGTTAGTTCTATGGTTATTGGTATTGTCATCTTGCAAGTAATCATTCCATTTGGGTAAAAGTAGAGCATTACAGGGTTAGTTCTATGGTTATTGGTATTGTCATCTTGCAAGTAATCATTCTATTTGGGTAAAATTAGAGCATTTCAGGGTGCACCTGGTTAGCTAGGCTGGTCGAATATTCACAGAGATATGGTCATTCAAATAAAGCAGGAGGTCTAACCCATGACATATTAATGAGCCTAGAAATATTAAATCACCTCCAAATGTTTGTACGGTGATCATGCAAGGTGAGTCCATAATTTATTGGTATTCACCACATTCTAACTCCACCATCATTGCAGAAGAATGTGAAGCATGATTTATCTGACCAAATTACATGTCCAATTCTGATTATCGAGGCACCAATAAAGATATTTCTTTCGATTGTTGAGAGAGATAAGGTATTTCCAAATTAACTTAACAATCCTTGATATTTGCCTCCTATTCCTGTTTGAGACCTCCTTCTTTCGACAACATTTTCCCATATTTTTGATGTAATAACTATGCAATGCAAACTTGGGGTCACAGCGACTTTTGATCCACCAGTGAGCTCGATCCTCCTTGCAACTGACGCACCTGCAAACTGAGCCCCCAAAATAACATCTTATCGAAAGCTTGATAATTTTTTCCCATTATACCGACAACTGATGCTCATACAAATTGCCTTATTTACTTGTAGAGTCTTGGTGAACTTTTTTTTACTAACATATGAATAAATACTTTGTGTAAGTGAAGACTGGTCTATTTTGTAGGTAGGACTTTCTAACGTTTCGGCTAGTGAGTGTAAATCATCATGTTTGGCTGTTTAGCAATTTCTAAATTATGTAATACATATACATGCATTCGATTTGATTAAACTTTCTTATTAATAACCAGATAGTTAATGCAATTTCTATTTATTTTTATTTATTTTTTCTACAAATGTATTTCCATTACGTGTTAAACCTCGAGTTTGCCTTCCAGTTTAAGGATAAAATATTTGCTCTTTAAGCTTCTGTAATTTATCAGTTTTATAATTCAATTTGTTTTTACTGTTGTCGAGGCAAACTAGGATCGACAATTTCAAGCGTGTCTACTAATGTAACAGATCACCTAAAGCCTAGTGCAATGAACTCCCACAAGCATGATTCTAAGCAACTTGATGCTAAATCGAGTTTTTGAGCTATGGTTAGTTTGTATATTCAGTGATATTGTACATGACCTGTGGCTACAAAGCCAAAATTTCTAATCTTTTTTTTTATTTTTACAAATACAGTGCAGATAGCGCCTAAATTTGACCCCTTCTGTGAGGGTCATTTTACAGGACTTTCTTAGACAAAATTTTCCAATTTCGTGAGTATAAAAGCATGTAAGTTATAAAATGTTAGAATTTATAAGAAATGCATATTTGATAGTGTTCGGTTGTATCGAAAAAAACAAAGGAAAACGTAATCCCAGCAAAGAAATGGTTAATGAACGACCTGCTACAAAATGACCTCAAAGGTACTGGAAAAAGTTAAACTGCTAGTTGAAGAATAGGCCAAGATATGTCAGTTAACTGGAGCTAAAGTATTAACCTCTCTTTAAAAGTGTAAACAAGATAGTTCGCGAGGATTTATGTTTGCAAAAGTGATACACGAACCGTGTTCACAAGCTTCTATCAAAGCACACGTGGTGTATAAGTATACCATGCGTTTCTAGCTTCTTGTATTAGTAATATATTATTCTTAATTCTTGACTTGTTTCTGAATATGGCGAGTTCTCACATATTAAGTGGTCAAGAAGCTGTAAAGTTGCTTTTGTTCTAGCTGCCTTAATTCCTATTCCTAATCTTGAGATAATGCCTGTTCTGCCCATGTGTAATATCGTTGTAAAATTGTGTCCTCCAATGGTAAATCAGGTGTTATCTCTATTTGTTTCAATGGGATTGATCAACAGTGACATAACTCATGCAAACGTCCCAAGAATATAATGTTATCAAATTTGGAATATGATACTATGGTCCATTAGTTAGCTTTCTCTCAAGCTTAGTCCCTCATGTCGGTAAGTGAATACTAAGTCGTTTCCTTGTAAGTAATGATACTCTATTGAAGTATAACGTTACTTATTAAACATCTTCATGAATTCTTAAGAAAATGTAGAGAAATAACTAGAAAGGAAAGATGCTGTTGTTCAAAGGGGTTTATGATGGTTGCATGTTACAGTTATAAGTAATTCATCGCATTGCACGGTTGTTCAAAGGGGTTTATAATGGTTGCATGTTCCAGCTATAAGTAATTCATCGCATTGCACGGTTGTTCAAAGGGGTTTATGATGGTTGCATGTTACATCTATAAGTAATTCGTCGTATTGCACGGTTGTTCAAAGGGGTTTATGATGGTTTCATGTTATGGCTATAAGTAATTCATCGCATTGCACGGTTGTTCAAAGGGGTTTATGATGGTCGCATGTTACAGCTATTAAGCGTCAAGGAAACATCTAGACAGACCAGAGAAATATCAATGTGATCTTTCTATACTATGAGGTTAACGTGCCGACATCATGATACTACAAGACAATATCATCTATGTACTGACTGCATATTAATAAAGTATAATCCATCAAGACAAAGCATCCAACCTCATGTTCAAGTTAATATATTAGCCTCTCTGGAAGATGCAAGTGAATAAAAACAAGAGCAAATGCAATGTCTCATAAACACGTATCCTTGGGTTATTCAAACAGGTCCTTGTACATCTGTTATTCAGGCATGGTTGATGGTCTGTTGAACGCATTTACCTTAGTGTATTGTACAAAATCCCCCGATAGTGTCAGTTTTACTGCAGAGTAATAGTCCATAGCACTTAAAAGTTTAGAACACCATCAATGGTAGAAGAATGGACTTTAAGTGTCATCACTGATGCCGAAACGTTATACGTAAAAAAGACTACCTTAATTAAATGTTTTGAACCAAGTTAATTGTTACGTTTCAATTTTTCGTGCCCTCTCTCAAGATTTTATTTTAATGTGTTTATGATTCACATGTCAAACCTAAGATAATCCAGATGACAATCCTGAATGTTTTACTATTAATATTTGACTCCATATCATTCGTTTTACATTTATATAGCTACCTACATTAATCTATTGCTGTTTAGTTAATAATGTTAATCAGGTCATTTAGAGAGCAAAATATTTCTAATGAAAAAAGTAACCTTATTACTTGTTTAGGCTTAAATCTCAAATGTAATAGCTTTTAAACCAGTTTACCTCAACTCAAATATTGAATGAAGAAATGAAATAAAAATAAATTTTCAAGTATTCATAAGTAAAAAACTATATAAACACATAGTATTAGTACATTATATTAAAACAGTTTGAATAAATAAGCAAGTCACGTGACAATAAGAACGAAAATAAATTCGCGGTGGAACAGGATTTAACCAAATTACATTTTGATATCGCTTAGCATTTCGTAGGTACTGTAATGCCACCAAACTTGACCACGTTTTGAAAGGGAGAATGAAATAGATATTCATACTAGTACATAGCCCCTATGTATTTCTGAACGATTGGGCTGTTGAAATAGGCACGAGGAAACAGTTATCTTCGTATAATAGGTGAATTACGGATAACATGTTCGGAAGAGGTGTGTGTGTTTTAAACATGATAGTCTTATGCCGGAGCCTTTTGCAATAGAGAATATGCTGCAGATTATTGTCAAGATGCACAATCGTCAGATATAGTATGACTAGACGTGATCGCGTGAACTATATCGAAGCGGTGAAGCCCAAAATCGTTTTAGTTATAACGTATTAAACCTCTTTAGAACATAAAACTCAATAAAAGCACTAACCCATTCGAACATGCTCAGAACCTGAGAATACAATGTGTTCATAAACTTCGTCCATTAGACAGATGACATTGTGTTTCTTGCAAAGTTCTGATATCATCTGCAGCTCTGAGCGTGTGAAGACCTAAATAAACAACATAAAACAAAAATATTCTTGTTAATAAAAATTGAAGAATTTTCTGATATACGCATAAATACTAAATATTATTTTATGAAAATAATAGTTTTGTCAGAATAATTACATTTCTTACAGTTTACTCGGAATCACATAATATTTTATAGCTAGTACACTGTAGATAAACTTACTAAAGGTTTGATAATATTAATACTTTATTTGTAAAAATAAACAGTGGTCAGGTGCACGTGTGCGTTTTGTAATTTTGATTACAAATAAAATCACTATTCTGTAGGTTGTGTAATTGTAAAAAATGGCCTAATTATTTTGTAAGTTTTTATTATATATTTGCTTTTAAGTAGTGCATCTAAAAGCGTATAAACAGCTTTACTGTATAGACAACTAAGGAGGTTAACTCAAAAAATATTAGAGATTTTTAGTTACCGTTTATGATCAGTAAGTTTAATAATGTAATTTTATTTTGGTATTTTCTAAGCGTCAAACGTTACAGTGTACGCGAAGATTTCAGTTTATCATACACCTATAAATTATACTTTTACAAAGTATTCTTAATAGTAATATCCATCTTTATATTATGCCATATACAAAGTCCCCAAAAGACAGTTTTTCAACATCACTTATAAAGTTGACAATCGCTCCAAAAATTACATAATTAATTTTAGAAGTATATTTTGATTCTTTCAGCCATATCTGTATTTAGTTTTCCTTGGGTTAGTTTGTTTGTTTTTGAATTTCGCGCAAAGCTACACGAGGGCTATCTGCGCTAGCCGTCCCTAATTTAGCAGTGTAAGACTAGAGGGAAGGCAGCTAGTCATCACCACCCACCGCCAACTCTTGGGCTACTCTTTTACCAACGAATAGTGGGAATTACCTTCACATAATAACGCCCCCACGGCTGAAAGGGCGAGCGTGTTTGGTGTGACGGGGATTCGAACCCGCGACCTTCAGATTACGAGTCGAGCGCCTTAATCACCTGGCCATGCCGGGCCCCTTGGGTTAGTCAAACACCTGATCGTTGTTCCAATACACTAAACAAATTCCATAAATATAACTAAAACTTTGGTTTATGTGCAAACTAATAGATGATAAACTTTTACACATTCTGATTATTTACTCACTCAGTTAAATACTGTTAATAAGACTCCAAATGCATTTCGAGTTCCGTAAGCTTTTCAAAACATTTTACTTCCAATTTTTAGTACAATAAGATATAAGCAATTATTAAAACATCAGTAACAAGCAAATAGATGCTTCAATCACAAATACTACAGATAATTCCACAATTTATTCCCATTTGATAAATTCTTGAAGAGTTACGATCTAACTAAGTTTCATCTCTTTAAAAACACTTTCTAAAGCTAAAATCACTGCCCTTTCTTTAGACGCTAAAAAAATTTAAGTATCCCATTTTAAGCAATTTATTTTATTAACACTCGAAATTAACTTAACAGCATTTTTTCATGTATAACTGTACATTTATGTATAAGCTTTCAGACATATAATGGCTGGAGACGGCTTGAATGGGTAATGAAGAAAAACTTTAATATAAGTTTAACATAACAGCAAATGTACAACGTTTCGACTAGGTTTTGTCATCATCAGGTACCTTTATTTTTCGATAACTTGACCTTCACAAATTTAGGAATTAGCTTTTCTGAGCGGCACTGTCTAAGGAAGGAAATATCGTTTCTCTTTTTGATGATTTTTATATTTTCAGACATATGTTTCATTTACTCAGTCTATATCTAACGCACTCCCCAAAATAGGATATATATAGAAATGAATAAAAACCCTATCATCCGAGCGATGTCGAAAGGCTGTACCTTTCTTCTTCAGGGGCAAACTGGAATGGTGGTGTAATCGAATGAGTGATATATATAAAATATATAGATATATAAAGGGAGTTTAGTGACGTCATGAAGGTCATCCGGAAATGTTTAGTCTATTTCTCTATGTACTGTTGTAAGAATCTCATTTCTGGTATAGTGTAGCCGATAGCGTGAAAAGGTGTTAGGGATATTTTACTTTAGAAATGGATAAATATGTGTATATTGAAACTATAATTAAGTGTTTAAGTTAAATAAAGGTGACACCTGGAGACTGATTGAAAATGATATGTCATGCTAATCAATTTATAAAAACAGGTATGGAAAATTATCTTAAATAATTTTAAATAACCATTAAGTTTAAGAAATTCAGTGTTCACATGACATGAAAAAATAAGCAAAGAATAAATGAATGGAGATCACTGATTCCAATATCTAGATTAATTCCGAAATGTTGAACAGTGTTTAGATTAGCAATCCAAAAAGCTTCTTTTATTTCTCTATCTGCTTTAGTTTTGAATCCTGTTTCAATGCCGATGAGAGTAAGTAACATCGTTAATGTGTTGAGCAACAGGGATATCTTTTTCGGTGTTAACTGAAGATTTGTGGTTGTTGAAACGTTCTCTAAGAGTTGTTTGTGTATGTCCTACATATCGGTAATTGCATTTTTACACTGCATAAAGTAAATGGTGTTTTTTGTTTCACAAGTGATTTCTTTGGATATTTTAAAGTTTTTTGATTGTGCTTGTCAGAAAATGAGTCAGTGGTTTTTATGAACTTGCAGGTTTGACAACGGGCTTTATCATATGGACTACAAATATTTTTGGGTGGGATGTAATTCACTTTTGTGTGAACAAGGATATCTTTTAGAGTTCTGCTTTTTCGGAAGGAGACAACAGGAACTTCAGGAAATATCTGTTTAAGGCGATCGTTCAGTTGTAGGAGATGAAAATGTTTTTTTCAGAATTAGTGAAACGTTTCTGAGTTTAAACTGATAGGTAATAATAAGAAAAATTATATTTGGAAGTTTAGTACTGCTCTTATTTAGGATGTTTTTCCGCTGTGTAGTTAGCCTTTTCAATCTGTCTGTTGAAGCTTATATATACATATACTAATGATGACCTCCTTTGTCTATTTTTATGCAAATTAGGCATAAAAAGATCCGTAATATTATCTGAAAATGATCTGACATCCAGCCTAGGCTCATAAATGAAAGTTTGGTAGAGGTAACTTTATATCTTTATAACTTAGTAAAGCCTCTTTTTGACCTTTCATGTACTAACAACACTATCCAGTTGTGGCTGCAAACATCTGACTTAGACATAACTGTCACCATGAACAGCAACCTGGCACTAATGTTGTGTACTTAAAATCAGAGTGTTGCTAAAGGCATGAGGTATTCTCGACCATTTTTTTTGAAAGAGATGTTTGTGTAACATCTTTAGCATCTGGAATCACTGGACGAGATGCAAAGCATTTTCCAAGAACATTTGACACGAGCTCAATGGAGCTGAAGTATATGCAGGCCATTACTTGGTGAAGCCATATTCTACAAAAATGTGATGACAAATTTAGTTCAATGGGAGCACTTGTGATTGTACATTGCTCTAAAGTTAGGGTCGGTTATAGTGGAATATTTTAAGTGCAAAACTACACAATGGGCTATCTGCTGTGTGCCCACTACGCGTAAGAAAAGCCGGTTTTTAGCGTTACAAACCTTCAGACATACCGCTCTGCTACAAAGGGGTGCATTAAATTGTAGCTGAAAACATCTGGTTCAATCTAGGAACAGAGAGTCTATGGTCATGGCGAGCCAGATTTGTTGAAATACATAATGGTCACGTATCTATGTCTTGGATGACGGTTTACGTTGTTTACCGTCATTTGCCAGCTTTTAGTTACACCTCCTGATGACATCCCAAGATACTTGCAGCCAATTCACAACACCTTGCCGTGATTTGCCAGCTTTCATTTCCATGATAACTTCCACAAAGGTGAAATATCCAAATGCCTTTTTTTTTCAGATCTAGTTGTTATTAAATAATAACTTGAGTCAATACTTTGAAATTCATTTCAAACTAGGTTGCAACTGATACTGGGTTATGAAAAGCCATTTATAAACCACATACTGAATAACATTCCATGTCATACACTTGATCATAAGATGTCTCCTCTGCACAACAATGAACTGAGAGGAATGATTTTTATTATTTAATAACATTGGTTCTTGCCTTTTCTGATTACTCAAACTATTAGAAATTTTTATTAGCTATTAAATATTTTGTGCAACGTACATCAGTGACCAATTAGAGTTTATTTTAATTCCAGTTAACGTAACAAGAATATATTTAACCATGCGACTGACGTTTAAGAAAGCAATCAGTCATCTCTATTAATATGTGGTTGGTCGCGAGTTTCTTAAAGAAGTCTCCGAAAAAAACGGCGAATTTGACTGCTTAAAAAACCTCAACTAGACTAAAGTGATAGTGCAGAACAAGAAAAATGAAACATTTAATTTTTTGGTAATTTAATAGGAAACGAAGAGGACAGTATTCTTTAATACAAACTTTTAACCAATAATGATTGTTAGCTATTGCTAAAATACTAAAAAAAAGACTGTATTTCTATGGGAGTGGTAGCCAGTGAATAATGTAAAACAAAGTATAGAATTACTGGCTTAGCCCAACAGTTGTTCTCATCAAATGGGGATATTTAAAACTAATTTAGTGTCATTTGATAGCTTGTTTGTTTGTAATTAAGCACAAAGCTACACAAAGGGCTATCTGTGCTCTGCCCACCACGGGTATCGAAACCCGGATTCTAGCGTTGTGCTACTGGGAGGGGGGCATTTGATAGCTCTAGGCAAGAGTAATTTAACTATAGACCTTTACAATTAACAGTCGTATCCTTATACATATGGAATGGCAATTTGCTCATCAAGGTGTTGAAAAATCTGTGCCTATTTACTGATCGACTATTTTGATTCAAAGAAATAGATTATAATAACACAATATAATTATAATGAAAGTTCAAGCAGTCAGATCTTGTCGATACGGCACCTTAAGCTCACCTTAACGTGAAAGTGATAGGAAGTTTGCTACGAATATTACTAATGTTAATTCTTATACGTTTCAATATATTTTTATAGCGATATAAAACTGTTACAGGGCAGTCCTTGCTTCCCAAAAGGGTCACTGTGAAACATTACTAATGGGTTTTTTTATGTTAAAAATAAAACTTATTAAATTTAATACACTGTATAAGCGGGGCAAAACTTACAAGAACAGGAGGAGTATCAGTCAATATATTTGGACATTAACTGTGAAACAATAGTCTTTAGTAGACTTAACACTTCATGCAGATCACACCAGATACAACACACCTCCATAGGTTTTGGAACCTGGCTTATTAGTATTCCTGCAGTCTTAGGTTGTCGTACTACCAAGAAAAAAACACATACAAAACAATACATACCTTCCCGAGAGGGTTGTGAGGGGTGTTAACAATAATAATTTTAGTTTTGTCTGTAAACTTGGAAGCAAGTTCATTAGGATCCAGTATCCAATCTGCACTTGACAAAGTGCCTTCTAATTTCTTCTGAAAATACAAATTTCAAATGTATATTTTATTTAGCGCGTGTTTGCCTACAAGTGTTTCTTGAATATAATTTTTAATAAACATTCTGTTTTTTTTTAACTCAAGGAAATGGTAACTGATATATTATGAGTTATTTTCTCAATTCAGTTTATGACTTTTTGATTCTCGTAACTAACACGTGCTCTTACAGGTTAAAATAATTTCTTATTCTTATCTATTTCAAACAGTAGTGAGTTCTTCTATAGATCAAATGAAGTTTGAGCTTTAAATGTTCAAACCAAACCAATCTTTTACAATTATTATAGCTTTTTTTTCCTTGGTTATCAAAATATATTATACCTTTAATATTCTAAATCTCCTTTTCTCATCCACCTTTCTCTTTTCGTGGTTTTTAATATTGCACTCTCTTATAAATCTCGCTTTCCGTAAGATGACACAAATCTATATTATGTGTTCTCACCCCCTCTAGTTGCAGCGTCTATAAGTCAGAACTTGCTCGAGATAAGGCTTAGATGGAGTAGAATAATACTTGAAAAGTGTTGTTAATGAAATGTATCTGAATAGGAAGATTTTGGACAAAGTTTCGAGCTTCTAGCCACGCTACCCACAGCTGATCTCAACTTGGCACATTGTAGCTCATTTCTATATGGTCACATTTTCTCTTAGTACTTCTAATAATTAAGTGTCTTGGTCTCTGTGACAGGGTATTTGATTACATTAATTTTGTAATTATTTGCTTGATAAAGAAAAATAATTAATTTAGGTTTAGTGTTAAAGTATTATAACATTTATTTGCCTTTTATTATACTTAAATTTATTACCTGTGGTTCCTATGTGATTTTTATGCTTACTAAATTTCCTCCCATGGACACACACTTGCTTCCTGCCAATGGTGACTGAGACATTGTCCATTAAGAGTTCAATAGATTTTGTATCAGCTTTTTTGTAACAGACGTCCAGTACAAAAGCGCGACTGTCTTGGTTTGAAACTCTCTTTATGATCGCAGTAAGACTTGTTTGTTTGTTTCTAAATAAGCACAAAGCTATACAATGGTCTATCTGTGCTGTGCCCAACACTGGTATCGAAACCCAAATTCTAGCGTGGTAAGTCCGCAGACATACGGCTGTGCCATTGGGGGGCCGCAGTGAGGTGTACGCTCCTCAAAGAACCAATCCCCGTGATGTATTTATTTTTTAATCTCTACAAGAGAATTGGGAGTCAGATAATAATGTATTTAGTTCTTCCATGGGTACAGTTCGAACTGTAATTGAAAGTTCGCTCTACCATAGATGCTTTTAGAAACTTTTTAAATTTTGAATCTTCATGCCAGTTTTAGATAGTCTGTAGCTGAAGTATCCTTCAAATATATTCATTTGGATCATATCTCATTCCCATACCCTAGACCTGTTGTCTGAACCATTCGTTCCAGGTTATGTTTCCTCAATTTCTTGGTTAGCCTAATTTACAGGATCACTCGAGATCCATTAGATGAATTTTCTACCATCATCTTCCAAAAGACTAGTGTCAGATTAAACAGAATCACTACTAACCAAAAGAAACTCACAAAAGTCAATAGAGCAAGTGTATATGAATTGGTGAAACTCCTTAATGTTTGATCTTCGGACAATATGATATGCTTTCCTGCATTTAGTTTGATTATTGTTAAGCATAGAGATACACAATGGGCCATCGGGTATCGAAACCTGGTTTTTAGCGTCGTAAGCCTGCAGACTTACCACTTAGGACCAACGACGGATGTTTTTAAATTTTCAGTATAAAGCGTTCTGTCACAACGTATGAGATTTAAATATAACGCTATAAGTAGCTGTTGTGTATGTGGTTCTACCAAAGAATACAGTTTCCAACTTGTACATTATTTAGTTTTTGGCAACAAAGTTTTTGTTTTTTTTACTACTTCAGGTGTGCCATCACTTGATATAACTGTACATTCCTCCGAGAAATGTAATAATTCAAGTCATCTTAAAAATATAACTAGATGTACCTTCTTAGAAATAAACATTTTGTAAATAACGTGGAAAACGATGTATTAATTAGAATACAGCTCAGATTGAGGATCGTCGGAGACAAACAAAATGGTTGGGAACATAAAGGACATGTAATTTCTACAAGACATAGAAAAACTGGAAATAAAGGAAGCCAATAAAAAAGCAAATGCTCCAAATCGTCTCTCAAAAAAAAAAATGCTATCGTAATGGTACAGACACACACTACTACTGAATTGTTAACTTACTGGTTTAAGTGTAATAAACACTGGAACACCGTTAGCAATTTTTACCAAATATTGATAGTCTGGATAAAATGGTTCCATGATAATGACCTGAAATAAAAACAGAAAGTATTTATTAAATTAACAAACTTGTATATACTTGTTGAAATTATAAAAGCATCTTTAAAATACGCTTAAGTAGATGTTCTCAAGGTTCAATGAAATTATTATTATAATAATTTTTGTTAGAACACTTATTTGTCATCAGGAGATAAGAATGATTAATGTTTTGTAGTTAAGCACAAAGCTACACAATTTGCTATCTGTGCTGAGCCCACCACGATTATCGAAACCTGATCCTTAACAGTAGAAGTCCGCAGACATACCGCTGAGCCACCAGGCTTTCCATTAACGTTTGTTTGTTTTGAAGGAAATCCACATTGGGCTATATGCCGTGTTCGCTGTGGGGAATCGAATCCCGGGTCTTAACGTTGTAAATCTGTAAACTTATCGTTGTCCCCTCGGCGGGCTTCTACTAATAAATATATAAAAGTGATTTTCATGTTCTAAACTGCTAAGATCAATCTTAACAGACTATGGGCTTCGTTTTTTAAAGTAAAAATCAATTTAAAGCAACTTTATTCTGTACTCCAAAATTTCTTAACAGCTAGTAGTATTAAAAGCTTATTATAACAAGGGTTAAAATGTTAAGAAAGCCTCTAATAAGTACAGGCATTCTTTAAATTCATGACTAATAATTTCAAAGTTACACGTACCTCATCACCCGGGTTTACCAGTGAAATGATAGAAGAAAATAACGCTTCACGACCACCTGCAGTAACTAAAATCTCTTTCATTGGGTGAAGCTCGCGACCCAATTGCTTTGAATAGAATTTGCTTAGAGCATTTACCAACCGTGGGTGACCCTATAATTAATAAAAATACAGACAAATATAAAACTATAAACAATTAGTTAACAACTTCTAACAGAAGAACCACTAAAATTATAGTAATTACAGTTATTAATAATAATCTTAATATTAGTAACGCACATTAGTTGATCAACTGGAAAATAACCAAAGCAGTTAAAATTAACAACGGAATATGCACAATACCAGAAAGTTCTCAATACAAATATTAATTTTCTATATTTTAACATCTGCACAACCCACAACTCTACACACAGCTTATAATTATGAGAATAGAATAAGCATTTAACCACATTCACAATAGACAACAAGCCGTGTGTATAACTTGGCTCTCCCACAGCACCTAGTACTACTTATTCACAAAATAGTGCTTTATTTTTCGTATTAACTCACAACGTATACTCGAACAAAAAGCTAAGCCTAACAAATATTTGTTCCATGAAGTTATGAATTATGAGACAATAATCAACTAAACGACCACTTGAGGCTAGCACTAAAACTTACCAATGTTCGACTGTACTGTTGCAAAAAAGGATTTTTGTCTGTCACAGCATCAACCAAGGCTTTAGTAAGGAAATCTGGAAGTAAAAAATCTTGAAAACCTGCTCCCAAGTTTACCAATTTCTTCCCCAAAGCAGCATTGAAGATTTCTATCCTAGAACACAAAATATTTATATGTCTTCAACCTACAGTTGTGTGCAAATTTATCATAACACTCCATTGTTCAAGATTTTGAATTTTTGTCCCTTTGAAATAAATCTTTTATAGTTTAAGATGTTAGAAAACAGCATCAAAATGGAAAGATTATTTACTTTCAACTTTTGAATGACCTTAATTTCTTACATATTTAATTAATTTAAAAATGTAAGGGAAAATCATTACACAGCCCCAAATTATCAAGTGCGGTAAATTTTTTAAAATGTCTAATCTAAATACCAAGTCGTGGAACATTGTCACACATTATTGCCTTTAGTTTCTGGGACAAAAATGTGACTGTCACATTCTAATACAGGTATTTTTGGATATATGAGTGCTTATTTTCCTTTATAAAAAAACACCATCAGTACAGTGTGATGTTGTCCTTAAAACGTCAAACAGGGAATTAACACCCTATGAAATAGTTAATGTCAAATATTTACATGATGATGGTTGGTGTTTAAGAAAGAATGTAAAGTATTTCGATTGTTCACCAAACACTGTGAAGTATACATTGCACAGATGTGAGGAAACTTAGTCCTATAACATCAGACAAGGAAGGAGTCAAAGGAAGAAAAAAATTCCCACAAAGAAATGCTAGTTATCCAAAAATCGACTTCCTTAAATACTGAAGGAAAATTGCGAAAAACCTTACTGATGATATTAATAAGTTACATGAAGATAAAGTTTCAAGAAGAACAATCTCAAAAACGCTGCAAAAATGTTGTCTTTTGAAAGGAGTTGTTGCAAGAAAGCCCTTACGACGTAGCAAAGAGATTTGCTTTTGTGAAATAACATATATATCAATATTTGGAGCAGTTGCACAAAGTGCTTTGGACAGACAAATCAAAATTTGAGATAATGATAGGTTGAAAAAGGAGTGCCTTGTGCCAAGAGCCATATATGCAAAAGGCTATGTGATAGTTTGGAGCAGTATATCTGGAAATGATATTGGCAACAAATTTTGTAACTATGACGTCTTCATCACTGAAGCTACATCCTTTGGGCGGTGAAGTGCTGCCTTAACTACTCACAATGCTTTTTTGTTGTTGTTTGTCTTTTATATACGTAAAGACTGTTTTTCGTTTTACACGACGTTTTCAGTCTGTTTATTTTCTTAGTTTAAAATTCAGGCAGTTTACTTTAGCTAAACTCAGACTTACTCTAATTCTTCTGATCGATCCTCCCATTGACCTACCTAACACTCTTTAAGGGAATCAGTTAGTCTGAGAAAACCACAGTAGCACTTACTTGTGTTATTGGTAGTTTGGTGTGTGCATACTTATATGGATGTTACAATGAATGAAGCTAATTTTAAAAGTTTCGTCTTAATGGAGACTTCTTGACCACAGTCGTTATTTAATCATCACAATCATCATGTAAAAGCTGATTTTTTAACAAATTATGCATATCGTTCACTGGTTTTCACTACTTCAAGACATTGATATATGGAAAATATTTTGGAGAGAAACTAATTAAATCTCCAGGCTTTTCGAATTTACGTATTTTCAGCTAATTTTTCTTACGCGAAGATTCTCGTATATCAACAAACTACAGAAATAATAATGTTGGAGTCATAGTTAATATGTGAGAATAAACAAGCAAAATGTTATGCATATTCTGTTCAAAAAGACTCAGAGTAATTATTTGGTATATGTTGTTTACACGTGGAAATATTATAATAACAATTAGTACTCAATTTAAAATTGTTGCTCTTTTGTGAAAACAACTGTAATAAACACAACCTTTGAGTTTCATTGATGATCGCTTATTCATTTAATTAAAACCCTGAAAATAAATTAAGGAAGTAACTTACACCAAAAAGTTGTTGGTTCCGATCTTCAACTTACGAGCAAATCTCAACTCAAGTTGATAAAGGTAGATTTGCACACACACACACTAGCAACACATTCTGTTATTTCATTTGGAAGGAACGGTTTTTTTACCATTTCAGTGAAACCCGTTGATAATCAAAATACCTGATCGAAGAATTAGTACTCAAGACGCCAGGAGGCTAATAGTTCCAATATTTAAATGGGCATCATTAAGAACCTAAGAACGCCACGCAGTACCACAAAATGATAAAATGTGGTGAGGATGTAGTTGAAGGAACCTATGAGACACTGTCAAATGAGAGTGACACAATCTGGCGTGTGTTTTTGCTATGATCGTAGTACAGACATGAATATTGGACAGATATCCACGAAATGCTAGTCTAATAATACTTTTAGATACTTGTAACTAACTTGCAACAACCTGCTGTGAGTGACTATCATTTTCGTCTTGTGGCTCTTTAGATGAATGACATATATAAATATCTTTGTTGAAGTTTAGTCACGATTCGTGGACTACTTGAAGCTCGTTCAGCTATGTGATTCACTTCAAAAGGACAAATCATTTTCATTGATTAATCATCAGGACTTTATAAAAAATAAACTGGGGGTGATTGGTAGGGGTGAGGTGTATAAGGGGCTTTTGCCCTCCCCTTTCTCAAATTAAACGCCTCTCCAATGTCATCATTCTTAGCAACTCAGAAATATTATGTAAATGTGGAGAAAGAGACAGAAAGAGGGTTTATGTGGGTCACTTACCAGAGTTTATTCCCAAATGTGGGAATCCCTACACACACGCGCGCGCACACCCAAGAGAAGAATCGACCCGAACAAAAGACTCACTCACTGCTTATGGTGATTGGCATAGCTTTAGTATTTGAAATTTAAACTATCCTTTAATTGTTTTGTGCAGTTTAAAGTAGAGACATTTTTATAACAACCGACATACAATATTTTATATATAATATTAGAATTATAATACTTACGTAACACACTGTTTGACATCTTTGAGACGGTCAGCCGCAACTTTACTGGATGAGGTAGCCTGTCAAAATGTGTTTGGCAAGCTTTAATATGACTATGAAAAGGTGTAGTAAAATAACATACAAACACTGTCATCTCAAGAAGCGATCTGTAAAACCTCAGACCATCTTTTCAGAAAGCAAAAGTAATAGGATATGCAGTATAAAACACAACAAATTCTTTAATCCTATTATAAAATGGAAAAAATGAACACAAATCATCATAAAAATACAATTGTATAATGCGAAATACAGATGAATTTATAAAGAAAAATGTGAGATTAAGTCTGTTTACAAAGAACAATGAAAAACGTAAATAGAACAGGTTTCATGAAATCTTAACAATTAATTTTGTAAACATCTAATAAAATGAAGTTTGATTCCGAAGTAGGCATATATATGGGGCCACAAACAAGACAAAAACTGAAAGCGATAAGGAAAAAATAAAAATGATGCATACAAAGTATAAAACAAAAATATTATATTGGAAAGAATAAAATACAACTAAAAACTTAAAGATATTTACAGTTCAACTCCAAGTCATGAAATTATCATCTCAAATAGACATTGAAATACACATTTGTGAACTGATAAAAAAAAGTTGGATAATCTTCAAGATGAGATAAGTTCATTTTACTTATCATCGTATTGAAATTCTAAGTATTCTACTATTTAAATGCTGGGATTTGACCTTCAAGTCGTCTTATTTAATCGATCACTTAATCATCAAGAAAACGATTTTGGTGAAAGACGCCTCACAGTTAAATTGAAAATCTTTCATACCATTTATCAATTTCATCAAAGCATGTTCCAAGGACTTTTCTACACTCCACGTTTGCAGTATATTTTATATGAAACCTTAATCTTTGAGCTGGTGTTGTGAAACGTTGTTTTTTTTTGAAAAAAATAAAATAAATATTAATGAAAAATTGTCAAGAAAGAACGAAACCATCTTTCGCAAAAAATATTTTAAAAACTCTATTACAAAGACCACTGCAATAGACAGCTTCTTGATCAAGGCTTTTGTAGAATTATAAATGAGTATTAGGTTTAATTTTATCTCTTGTTTTTTCGGTTACATGTTTTTGTTTTGTTTGTTTTTTGTTTTTAATTATGCACAAAGCTACACAAGGGCTATCTGTGCTCTGCCCACCACGGGTATCGAAACCCGGATTCTAGCGTTGTAAGTCCGCAGACATACCGCTGTGGCACTGGGGGGGCACATGTTTGTGTGATAGCAAGTATAAAATTATTTTACTAATCTGTATTTCCTAAACAATGATAATTAATACGACTTCTCTATTTGTCTGTTTGTTTGTATATTTCATAAGTAATATAAATCCCCAGTAATCATCATTAACAATATCTATTTTATTAAAGAGAAACATATAATAAATCAAATAAATAATCCAGAAGTTAACTTCCCTGAATTTTTTTTCTCTCATTGCTTTTCTTTTAGATTGTCTCTGTTCTCGTTAAAGGGCCAGGCGATACCTGATAATTAGTGTGTTCGGACTTTGAATCCGAGGGTACACACTTCGCGTTCCATTGTCGCAAAGGCGAGATACGTACTGTGTGCCCATAGGTGCACTATAAGGGTGAAATATTACCTCCACTAGTGGGTCAGATAAGAGTAGTCCAAGAGTTACGAGTTAACACTGTTGACAATCTGACTCCTCTCTGGTTTATCAGTTCAAATATAGGGACGACTATGCACCTACAACCTTTGTATAGTTTTGCACACGCACACACAAATTCCAAAGCAACAAACAAACTGTTCTCATTAAATCTATATGCTTATGATCTTTCAAAATGAACGGGTTTTAACTAAAACGACGACTCAGTACTGTTTGGACACCGCTTATGAAGAATATCATCTATCGTGATATCAACGTAAATCAAACCTTTTAAAAAAATCTTTTGAACTTTACAGATGAACAATAATCGTATAACATGTTAACTTGAGTTCTAAACATTTTATTGTACAATATCTATTATTGTGTCTTCATTTTCTCATTCTTACAATATTCAAGTAATTATTAGATCTTAAACATACATAAATAACAGAGAGTATAAGATATATATTGTTATACGGTTACAAACACCGAGGTTTTGTTCTTCACTTATTATAATGCCTTTTTGTACATAAGTTAACAAATTTTATACTAGATGGCAGGTACTGTTAATATTGTTCCTTAAACACCTGTTTATAAAAAGTGGTCCATAGAGAAACTAATTCCTTTTCGTCAGTATGATTATTCTATGGTAGAACTGATTTCCTTAAAGAATAAATCAGGTAGGCCCGCAAAGTCATGGGAGGTTCAACAAGATATTGTTTGTTTGTTTGCTTGTTGTTAAGCGTAAAGTTGCACAATAGGCTATTTATGCTGTGCCCACCACTGGTAAGGAAAAACAGTTTTTAGTCTTCTGATTAACCGTTGAGTCATTGGGGGGCTAGACAACATATATTACGGAGTCATTCTGAGTTTCTTTCGAACTGACTGAGTTGCAAAGAAAAGGAGAATGGACACAAAATCTAAACACACACACAATAATGAAAACAATATTTATTATCTCAGAAAACCGCAGTTTGTGTATTTTATTTCTAGCATGACAGACAGTATCCTTTACAGGAGAATCTCAATCTATCTATTTTTTCTGTAGAATCTATTGAAATTCCATCCCAGTGTGAGAATGTATCACGCTATATAGTCAAACCTGTAGAGCCACACCTTCCCAGGGCGAATAGCACTACCTATGTGGCTGGTCGTTATCTTGAGATATCACTTGACCGACGCTTAGAGAAAGCGGCTATTTACTTTTATACACAATGCAACTTTACAGTCATTTCACCCACGGGTAACCAGGGGTTATCTCTAGGAGTGACTCAGAACCACAGCTAACGAAAGTGAAAGCAACTTAGTGACTTTCTTGAACACGGAGGCCCGGCTTGGCCAGGTGGTTAGGGTGCTCGACTCGCAATCTGT